CCCCTCCCCCCCCATCCCCTCCCTCCCCCTCCCTTCCTCTCCCATCCTCTCCCTTCACCTCCCTTCCTCTCCCATCCTCTCCTTTCACCTCCCCTCCTGTCCCTTCCTCTCCCATCCTCTCCCTTCACCTCCCTTCCTCTCCCATCCTCTCCCTTCACCCCCTTCCTCTCCTTTCCTCTCCCTTCACCCTCCTTCCTCTCCCTTTCCTCTCCCATCCTCTCCCTTCCTCTCCCATCCTCTCCCTTCACCTGCCTTCCTCTCCCTTCACCTCCCCTCCTCTCCTTTCACCTCCCCTCCTCTCCCTTCACCGCCCTTCCTCTCCCTTCACCTCCCTTCCTCTCCCTGCACCTCCCTTCCTCTCCCTTCACCTCCCTTCTCTCTTTCCGCAGCCTCCCGGATGCAAGAGTCCAGTTCCCCAAGCGACAGCTGGTCGGACGGTAAGACCCAGCCATCAGATTGGCATCTTATGCATGTTGCCTGACTTTTCTATAGTAAGGAGCAGCTGAAATGCGATACATCAGCTGTTTTATTTCACTGTCACATCAAAGTGACCTTTAGAAACACTGAGACTTTTCCTTCTGGTTTGATAATGTTTGACAATCAGCTCCTTCCTGCTAAAATCATTTGATGACCTGTTCACTGGCTCTTTCACATAAAAACAAGAACGTTTACATAGATCAGATCACTCTGGTTGTATAACGAGCCTGAGACTTTCTGATGGTTCCATCCTGCCTCCCACCCCCTGCCAGAAGCTGACTCTCATGCCCCAGGCCAGACCACCCACCTGTGGCAGTTTCTCCTTGAGCTCCTGCTCCATCCCCACAGCTATGGCCGCTGCATCCGCTGGCTCAACAAGGAGACAGGTGAGGGGCGACTGAGGCCAAGATCACACCAAGGATCAGTCATTTCCAGTATTTCCAGTTATATACATAAAAAGGGAATTCCAGTCAAAAGTCATATTCATTTTGTTCACCACTGGACGACATGCTACAAAATAAATAGCATCATAATCACCTTTGAAGAGAAACTGAAGTGGCTTCCCTGACATATCTCATACCATGACATCACTAGGCATATGTCATACCATGACATCACTAGGCATATGTCATACGATGACGTCACTAGGCATATGTCATACCATGACATCACTAGGCGTGCTGCCTTTTGTAATTTGCATGGGAAGCTTAGCAGAGGAAACCTAGAAAACTCAGATCTCACAGTAATGCAGAGTGTTGCTCTCATCTGTCAGTCAGGCTTTCACATACAGCCCCTCCCCAGGTTACGGTGGGGGTACATTCCAATAAACCTATCGTAAGGCAAAAATGCATTTTAATATGGTACTTCCAACCTAACAAACATCATAGCCTAGCCTAGCCTACCTTAAACATGCTTAGAACACTTACATTAGGCTACAGTTGGGCAAAATCATTAACACAAGGCCTATTTTATAATAGAATGTTGCATATCTCATGTAATTTATTGAATAATGTACTGAAAGTGCAAGCATTTTTAGCTATTGTAAAGTCAAAATGGGGCTGGAGACTCCAGTTTTGTTGCAGGGTACAAAATACACACTCAAGTTCAAATTACCAGCAAATTAGAGATGCCAATTAAGAAAGTTATTTGGAGATTTCAAGAAACATAATGAACAACATGTAAAATTATTCAAACTTTTAGCGGAAATTCAAATACAAAAGGAGTTTGATTTGGCTTCCGCATATTGCAGCTATGAGTAAAATATCTCCGACAGGTATCTTTAAAATCGAAGACTCAGCTCATGTGGCGAGACTATGGGGTCTACGCAAGAACCGGCCGGCCATGAATTACGACAAGCTGAGCCGCTCCATCCGCCAGTACTACAAGAAGGGCATCATCCGCAAGCCCGTTGCCTCTCAGAGGTTGGTCTACCAGTTCGTCAATCCCGTGTCACTGAGAGAGGAAGATTTAAAGTCCCACAGCTAGGGATCACAGAATGACTCCGAGTGGAACACTATCAGTTCGCTTAGGTCACATGACCATTCAGTCAATATTTATCCTCTGGAATTAAGACTGCCCAACACAGCAAAACTCTGGGGATCCTTGGAGAAAAGTCCTGAAATTTCTACCATGGAAAGCAGAGACTCCCTCACGTCATTTGCCTGTTTTCATATTTCGTTCATATAGAACTTGTAGTTAATTCGCTCGTTCATAAGAAGAGGATTTATATGCCATGTTGTCAAACATTATATCCAGGGGCGCTGCAAAGACCGGGAAAGTTAGAATGATCCCATGGGCCCCTGAGTGGGGCCCTAAAAACATTGGATTGGGGGCCCAGATCACTAACAGCATCCATGATGTTCATCTAATTGTGATGTTAGTTGTTTAATGGCAGTCACTATACAGTTTACACACACACACACACACACACGTAATCCCAAGAATGACAACCCTAACCCCTACCCGGCCCACACACACACACACACACACCATATAGACTATGGTGTATATTCTGAATATTTGTGACTGTTACTCTACTTATTTCTGTTGAGTTTAGCCGACAGTTTTTTTCATACATGCGTCCAGCTGTCAGGCAACAAGGAAAATGCTTCTCTTTCTTTTCATTGTACTTACAGTTTCATTGCACGGTGGTTTTAGAATTGAGTCACATCCAAAAAAGCAAATATTTTTTATGGTTATCACATGAGACACTCAGGAGTCTTCCCAAGGGGGATGAGAGATGGGAAGATTAACGGCGATATTATGAATAAGCACACCTGTTAGCCCATCAGCAGTAGTAAGCTTAGGGCTGTTTTGCTTTTTATTCCGTACAGAGACCTATAAACTGCCACTTAAGTACAGTTCCTCATGCGGCATTCATGTTTCTCTTGTTTTATGTGAATGTTTGTCTTCTTTATGGCTCCCTGGGCTGCACCAGCCAGACATCGCTAAAGATCATCAAGATGGAACTGAAAGTAATAATCATGGCTGTATTATCTGTGCATATTGCAGAGTACGCATAAAACAAAATGTTTGTCTTTCCATCAAAATCTGCTACAAAAATATGATCACGTTCTTACATCAGTTAATACTGAAGAAATATTGTTATACAAAATATTAAATCGACGTCTTCTTGTGTCTCGTGTCCAAATGCTTTTGTTTAAAAATGAAAGTGACAGAGACTAACCTTAAGTACAGAGCTGACATGATGAGTTGTTTGTACAAACATCTGCAACATCTATCTGTACTTTTTAAGAAGTACTATTGATTACAGGCAGTAATGACATGGCCGCAGTGATGCTCTCTTTATTGTGCTCGCATGCCTTTCCTGCGTAGACTCTCTTGTACCCAACCAGGTTTGCGTTATACTGAGTCTCATGAAGTACATGTTATCCGGACTGATTCATTTGTTTTATTGTATTGTATAATCATGACATCGCTGTATAACTATTGTGTAAGTTCCAGCATGTGGCGTTTCTTCTCTGCTATAATCCTGCAGCGGTTCCCCTTGCGTTCAGCTGGCTGGTAGGCAATAAACAGCTGATGCCAGAAGCTGTTCACATTCCGGCACACGTGGAAATCCATTGTATTTCTGTGAATCAACACAAAACACAATGGCACCTGCTTGCTCCTTGGCTATTAAAACACACATTTAACAACATAAGCATATCATAACGTACATCCTCAACCCAACAATAATCTGTAATATAATAGCATTCAATTTGCACTCAAAATGAATGTGGTCTGTTATTTACATCCAGCTTGTTGCATTATTTACTTCGCAAAGTCAAAAGCAAGATTTAAGTGCAGCGTCAATTTATTTTTCTTTGACATCTTTCTGTCCTGACAGATTTTCATAAACACCGCAAGTGAGTTAGTGAGTGAGTTAATGTAGTTTTTCATCTTGCGTGTTTTTATCTATCCTGAAAAGAATAAGTTTGATCCACACATGCAAAGTGGGTTGACTGAACTACGCGTGTCCCTCAAGTACCAGAAACAAGGGAATGTACTGTATAATCTATTTTTAATACCTCAGGATGCTACACCATACTAATAACAGTGATTAAAATTTGATTATGCAGTATAAAAAAACACCCCTTTATTTCTGTGCAATTTGGGGAACTTTCTGCAGGATTTCATATCTGGTTTGTCTAAGACTGGAACTGGTTTATCACTGAAACTACATCACCTGCAGTAAAACCATTAGTAATACATATGAACGAGACGATTCAAAGCATGCTCAAACTATCAGTCATCATGGTAACCATTTTAAAGGTGACGATTCTTGTATTTGACGAAATGCAAAATCCCTATCAGCCAAGTGTGGCGGTACTGGCACTGCCCTCTAGTGGTAAAATGAAGAATCACTGTCCCATACAGCAAATTCTGTCTCTGAATAGAATAAACAAGGACAGAGGACTAAACATGACATAAGTATAAATAAATAAATGTACATATAAATCATGAAATATATAAATAAATATATGGCCGAAATGATTCCACTCTTATGTTTAACCTGCATAGAGTGAGACCCGCCTATCCAATTTACACGCAGAGACGGAAATAGAGAAATGAATGCATGAAGAAATGTGGAAATACTGAAATAAATGCATGAAGAAATGTGGAAATACTGAAATAAATGCATGAAGAAATGTGGAAATACTGAAATAAATGCATGAAGAAATGTGGAAATACTGAAACAAATAAATACATGAAAAAAAATGGAAATACTAAATTGTAGAAATAGATAAACTAATAAATGTAGACCTGATTATGTCATATTCATGACCAAAATGTATATACATATTTATATATTTCATCATTTATTTGTACTTATGCCATGTTAGATAAATACATTAATATAGAGCTAATTATGCTATTTTTCATGACCAGAATGTCCATATATATGTCATGATTTATTTGTACATCTATTTATTTATACTTGTCATGCTTAGTCCTGCATACTAATCAATTTACACATTTATTTTACACATATATTTTTGATTATATATTATGTGCTTGTAGCAATTGTTTGATTAACCCTTAATCATTGCTATTTTAAAAATTACACCAATCATTTGCACTATTCACCACTAACTGAAAGGTTTCGTCAGCATTTCACGATTAGGTTAGGAGAAAACCGAAGGTTTCATACCTACTGAATGGAGACCCATCTATAAAGATTTTACAATCGTCATACAAATGAACGAACCAAACTTATAATAGTGTCTTTTTATATCACCATTAATAAATATTGCTTTAGATGCTTTTGTTCCACCTCAAAAATAAGCGTAACTGCAAACACACACTCACATACATCCATAATTTTTGCTTGTCATCTCAAACAAACTGCTTCTTTCTGACCCATGCTGCTCTGAGATTTTAAAAACTTGGGTTTGTGTCTATTTGGCCACTGGCATCGTCGTCGTCATCATCATCATCATCATCATCATCATCATCATAATTTATATTTAAATACCTTTTTAATGTTCCTTGAAGGTTTGAGATGAACAGGCATTACACCAGATTGGAGATAATATTACAGCACTAAGGTCTACACATACATACATTTTCTACACCGTTAAAGTAGAGTTTCTACATAATTTTTCTCATCGAACCCCTTCTATGCACAAAGGAGAAAAAAATAAACATTAAAAAGCATTTACATATACACCTTTCTTTACTGCTTCACGTGTAGTTTCATTGTCAACTCCACATAGTTGTACAGTTACGGTATAATGTCATAAATTACATCATCATATACAATTCAGAAAGCGCGGATCCACTGCACGCTTAATATAGGTTAACGATTCCATTGCAATTAAGATACATTTAAATACAGTATGGATGCTCAGGTACATATCGCTTGATTGCATGTGTTAATATTGGATGCAACTGTAAATGTTTGCCTCACTTCTGATCGGTATGAGCAGAGGACCTTGGAAAAACGAATCCTTTTCTTGACGTCACACTCCGCTCAGTGGAACTTCCATTGACCTTTTCCTTCCATCCAGCATTTTTAACACTGGCATCTCACTATCAAATGCTGGCAACAGAACCCCACTCCCGTATTCTTAGCTTTGACTTTAGACGTTAATTTCTCTGCATATCATATGCAGGACTAATAGACACATATTGGTATGAACCAATCAGCACATCCAAGCTCCAATCCACGACCAATCAGAGTCAAGCAATTAATTACAACAAAATTCTTGATTGTGATGTTCAAGCACCAAGACTAAAGACAACTGGCTTTGAATTATTGATAAATAAAAATAAACTGTGTAAAGTTTTTATGTACATATTTAACCTATAAATAATCTAACAATACTTATACAGAATGAATTCATGTTTTCCCAGTCTGGCCGACCAGATGCACTGATATTCTAAAATTTGAAAATCTCTTTTCAGGTGCCACGTTAACTGTTAATTAATTATTAATTAATAACCTGGACCAACCATATTAAAACCGTTTTACACATCCCCGAGACATATTAACATTTATGCAAGGCAGCATGGATGGCAGATAAGGATTCATACACTAAGTCCTAGAAATATCTGAAATATCCCATTTTCCCCAAATAAGCAAGGGGAGTGTACAGAAAGACAGATGAGGTGAATGTGAGTATGTGACAAATACAGAGAGGCGATGAGGAGAAAGGAGGTGAATCGAGGAACAGCTGATACAATCACAACGAGTTTCAGTCACATGGGGAGAGGTTGCAAAAAGTACCGTCCACTATCATGTTCAACAGCAATCAGCCGAGTTAGACACACTAGACTGGACTAAGCTGGGTCGGCTTTGAAAACAGGTCGTGGGGGCGTCGTATTTTCGTTCTTACTTCGGCTCAGTTTTGACGGCTGCTGAAAGTGGCTTTCTCAAGGTGCTCAGCTTTTGGGCTTTGCTGTAGCGAGTCACCTCTCCCCGGGCAACGGCCATCCCAGCTGGATGTGGCACCGCCGTCGAACTCACTACCCTTGGTTCACTTGGACGGTGGGTGGGTCTGGTAATGAGTTTGTGGTTGTAGCAGTATGCGTGCTTCAGCTTACATTGATTGGGTTTACACAGCGTTACTGCGAGCATTCTGCATTGTTCGATAAAGGACATGAATGACAGAGAAGTGCTGGGGATTAGCAAGGGGCTAAACGGAAACTGCTAATCAACGAACCAGTGGTTGGGCAATGTTGACGAGACATTCCAACATAACTTCCCAACTGCAAAGCTGACAGAAGCAACAGAATTTTAACAGACTGCCAGGTAATGAATGGGACACAGGAAAAACGGCACCTGTAGATGATGGATGTGCAACAAAAATGCCAAAACGGGACAGGATGATCATGCAAACGCGACAATAACATCCGCCCCCCGTGAAAGGGAAATGCCGTTGTCACGTGTCACACTACATGACAAGTGATTTTACATCACTGAAATGCACATTATACAGTTAACAAAGCTCATGCCACGACACGGGGAGTACACGGTGCGCAGTAGGGTGCCCTCTGCTGTAAGGAGAATGAAACAATAAGCACATAGCAAAACAATGATCAGTCAAAGTAAAAATATATCTCATTGCATAGCGTTTTTTTGTTTTGTTTTTCTGTTTCAAACGCTACACTGAATTACCACTGCAACAATAAGGACTGTACACGCATAGCATCCAGACTGCTACAACAAAATGTCGTCAAATATGCACAGTGCACGTCGAACAGCTCATTCCGGCTATTCTAGCTTTCTCTGACTACATAATACTCATTGTTATAGGAGAACATACCGCTACATAAAAGTCATATCAGCTGCACAAAATTCATATTGAACACAACTACACAAAATGCAGAACGTCTCCCTGCCCTTGCGTCAATGGTCGTTTGTTGGTATACATACGGTTTATGCTTAGTTTTTAATTAGCGTTTTTTTTTTTTCTCACCCCCCCACCCCCCAGAGATTGAATAAATTTATTCATTATATATACTGTCTTTTTTATATACTAAGATTAAGACTGCTCGGCACGGTTGTGTGGCAAAGAAAAGTGTTGCTTGTGAGTCTCTGGTTATACGGAGCATGATTGGACGGTCCAGCCTAAGCCGGCCCCCAGAGCTGGGCGGGGCAGACTAGATGGGCTCTACGTAATTGGCTGGATATAAGCCCAGCTGCCCGTTGTCTAGGCGACCTTTGCACCAGCCTTGTTCATCCTCATCCTCCAGCTTGGTCAGTTCATCTCCTACAGAGAGAAAAAACAGGAGAAAACCCATCACCGTGTTCCTAGTGGAGTCAACCTGAAATGCCGCGCAGAATCAACCCGAGCTGCTTATATTGTCTACATCCAGGACTCGGTTCATTCATAAAAAATCACACTACATTCTGATGTAATTTATTACCCCCCCCCACCCCAAACCAAAGTTCCAAAATCAAATTTACATTCCATTCTTTGTCAACCCTCCGATTCAGTAAACATGTTAATTCTTTATGGGTAGACAGTTTCTGCTTTTGTTCCGTCTCTGCCCTTGATTCGATATGTATGCTGCAGATTACCGGGAACTAATTACCTGTAGCCACTAGGGAGTGTATGTGTGTTTGTGTGTTTCCCCCGAGCAACATTCGGAGAGGGGAGGATGAATCCGCGTCACTACGTCCTAATGTGATGCTGGAAGTTGGTAACATGACTACAGGTACAGCACAGGTATTTTTCTAAATGCGGCACCTTAATAGATATTTATTTTGTTATGCTTTATACTTTTGAGACAATATTTGTGTTGCACGGTTCTAATATGAAGCTGAAAGCTGCTAATGTGAATGCAGTACAGACCAGGTACATTTCATTTTCTAAATGCGCACCTTAATGGATATTTATTTCATTTTTATTTACTTTTAAGTAAATTGTAGCTTTTTTATTTGTAGGTTGCAGCAGTATTGACAGAGACTTTTTATTTAAGATAGTCATACTTTCTTCAGTAAACCACTTTTGATTAAAGAGCCAATCAGCTTTCAGTTGAGGTCAGTGGCTCCGCCCCTGTATATAACCATTGAGTTGAAGCAGGGCCTCAGACACGGTGTGGCACTTGTGATGCTAAATTGATGTAAGTTATCTCCTGTGGCTGTGCTGTTAGAATACTGTTCTGCCATAAGGATTAGTCAAAGCTCTGCAAATGTCTGGTTTGTGCACCAGGGGCTTCAGCCCGTGTGTGACGGCTGATCCCACCCTACCGGCTTTGAAGCTCAGCTCGTCCTGCTCTTGCCCATCGTAGTCGTAGAGAGCCCGCACGCGGACGCCCTTCTCCCCACCACCGCTGGCCGACTCCTCGTCGAAGGGGTTGGTGCCCCCGTTGGTCTCATTGCCCGAGTGGGAGGCCGGCTGCTCGTCGTCTGACCATTCGGTAGAGTAAGCCTGGTTCTTGTCGTAGCTGCTCACGCTGTGGGCGGAATGAGAGCCGAGAGTAACAGTCCGAAGGCTTAAGGCGCCTTGGGGACGAGGCACAGCGTCGGAGGGGCATTAATGGTCCGCAGCAGCTATCTAAATGTGCCAAGCTATTAGAAATGAATGTATAAAATCCACTGCGGAACGGAGCAAAAATGTGGACTGTCCAGCAGGGAGCTCGGAGGGAGCAAAAACGTGGACTGGTTGTGGGTCCCCGAGGACCGGACTGGGAAACACTGATGTACAGTAATACGCTATGCGCCTTATAGAGGAGCCAGTTAGCCTGACTGCAGGTCTTTTGACCTAAACAGGGAGAAGAAGAACTACACACATCTGCTTGTTTGGCTTATTTCCAGGCTGACTTCTGTGTTGATCATTTTCATCAGTTTGTTAAAGTTTGTTAAAACCACAATACACTCCTTATTTGGTCCTCCCATTAAACAATAAATTTGTTCACCATCCCAACTAAGGAAAGAATGTTTACAGTGAAAGCACATTTATACCGAACACATTTACACCAAAAACATAGCTGCATTTTGTTGTTATAAGACTGATGCAGGATCCGACCAATAGGGCTTCAGAATGTGTGCAATGTTCATTTCAGTACTATAATGTACAGTAAAGTGTAATCTAACATTGCGTTAGATATAGGTCATTGGCCTCTACTCAGCTCTGCTTTAAATCAAGGTGTGGTATAAGACTGTGAGACTTGTCCTAGGGGGAACGGCGAACTGTACCATGTGACACAGGAGTAGAAGCCTTGGGGACAGCGAAACGGTGGAGAGGAACCAAACAAAAGTGACACACAGGAAATGTGAAGGATTTTCAGGTGTTGGAAAGAATTACACCTGGATGCAGGATCAGGTGTCAGCGACTGGGGTTCAGGGGGTAAAAAGAAACCCGCTTTATATTCTCTGCACAGGTGAATCACATGACCTGTCAGCTGACCACAGCCCGCCATCTTGCACAGGTGAGCCAGAAGCAGTATGTACTGCTTACCTGCCCCGATCTCCACCCTGTGCCACCACATGCTCTGTCCCTGGAGTGTTGGGGGCCCCTTCAGCTTTCTTGGGTTTCTCCCGCTTGGGGACGGCGTTGGTGACATCTGGGTTGTACTCCTTGGGGACAGAAGCCCGTGAGATAAAATGTAGAACACAAACCATGAAGTGTAATTTTGCGCACAAAACGGATGGGATCATTGTGGTTTGCACAAGTTCAGGAATGAAATAAAACTGCAAAGTTAACGCAATATCTACGTCTAACAGAAACACAGAAAATCTTATTATATTACTGGCAAACAAAATACCTTATTTGAGGTTAAGAAAAAATGCAACTGCATTATAGAGATGCAGAAATGGATGGTGTCCATGCAACTTGTCCAAGTACTGTGGTGTAAGAGCAGCGTACCTCAAACTGAGGCCAGTTCATGTGCATGCCCGGCCCGTGGTTGTTGCTGAACCACCTCAGGTCTTCCTGCGCGCTGGCTGAGTTGATGGTGCGCTCCAGCTCTCGGTACACAGTAGCGTAGCTGCAGGGCGGCAGAGCAGAAACATCTCTGTGCTTTGAGATAACGGGACGCTGGTTAGCGAAATGCACCCCAGCCTTCTCTGTAACGAAACGCACTCCACTTGGATCTGCGATGCTTTGCTTGTCTTTGTATTAAGACATGAGGATAAAGTGCACAAAAAGGGACCATATTCCATGATTCTTGACAAGCTATTTTGTTAGAAACCCAATAGCAGGATGCAGATCTGTATCGTTACACCCGACTGTATTTCAACAGATGCTTCCTGGAAACATGGAACCCAAGTATGTCTTCATGCACCATTTATAGAGCCAATTTAGTTGAGAGTAAAGTCTATAGACAGTGAAAGCTATAAGAAAAGTTCAGGTGGCCTGAAGGGTTGGGGAGCCAACCTCTGGTTCTCCGTGAGGTTCAGATGCCGCTTGATGTCCAGCAGGGCCTCCTTGAGGAAGCTCAGCCTCTTCTCCTCAAACTGTTGGCACTGCTCAAATACCTGCTCCATGTGCTCCATGTACTGCGGCGTGCACTTATTCAGCTCGTCCAGCGCCTTCTCGTACTTCTCTTTGGCCTACAAGAGGCGAAACGTGTTCTCACGTCATGCCAGGCGATGAGCAGGGGACCCCTGACATTGTGAATAAGCATAAAAAATGCAACTCGACATATAATGCACACAGAAGAGGTCAGGGCTTCGACATTAGAATGACTAAGATGTGTGACCTAAGCGATTTTGAATTGTCGGTGGTAGAAACGCTGGTTCCAGTGTCGGAGAAACAGCTGCCTTCCTGGCATTTTGACGCACCACAGTATCTAGAGCAGGGGTCTCCAACTCCGGTCCTGGAGAGCTACTATCCAGTAGGTTTTCTATCCTACCTGGCTTCTGATGAGCCACACCTGTTCCTGGTATTTACCTGAGAACTGGTGTGGTTCATCAGAAGCCGGGTAGGATAGAAAACCTACTGGATAGTAGCTCTCCAGGACCGGAGTTGGAGACCCCTGGTCTAGAGTTTACAGGAAATGGTGCAACAAGCAAAAAAGCATCCAGTCAGCAGAGACTATCTGGGTGAACATACCCTGTTAATGAGAGCGGTCTGTGGAGAAGGGTGATGACTGCCGCAAGTACGAAAATAACAGCTCAGTGCAACAGTGATGTACAGAAATGATTCTCTGAATGCAGTGTTTGTCCAAAGTTGTACTGGTTCTGGAAGCAAAAGTGAGTCCTTCTTGGTGTTAGCTAGGCGTACTAATACGGCGGCCCCTGAGGGCACGTTTTCCTTTTAGAAAACAATTGGGTTTCTACATCAAGATTAAAATTTGATTCACTTACACAATGGAAAAGATACAGTGGCTGTGAATCTGGGTATTGTTTTTACAACTCAAGGTTAAATGGATAATATACAGAGACGGAGGCTATAGGTTAATGAATTGGCCCGCAGTAAATGAAGGGTATGAGTTTCAGGATGCGCTTGTCTTCCGTAGAGGTGACCAAGTCAAGGACAAAATGGTGACATCACAGAGGGAGGTTCCAGAGAGCATAACCTGTTGTAAACCAATTATTTAATAAAAGGTCTAATAGAAAGGACTGGGCTTTCTAAAGCCTAAACACCTTTAAAGCAATTGGGTGGCTCTCATTTCGGTTGACTCTGGTTCTCATATTCGTTTAGTCTGCACTGCATTGGTATGTAACACCTCTTTGATATGCTTTCCCAACAGATATTCTTTATACCTTAATGCTAATTGGTCCTTAGGATTTGTCCCATTGCACAAGGTCTCCATGTTGTTTGTATAGTCTTCCATGACAGTTATATAAGGCTCTTTACATGCAGCGATGAATGAATAAATTGATTATAAGTCAGTTTAATATAAATAGTAAAACGTCGTATGGACTGCTTGGTTTTTTTGAGACTGCGACTTTACACGAGGAATACCGCGGTAACTCTGCTTGCTGCCACGCTATACCTGCCCCAGGCTGCCCACCTTCTGCACATCCTGCTTGCACTTGTCCACCTTCTCGTGCAGCTTCTTCTGCTGGTCCGGGGTGACAGACGCCTCCGCCTTGCTGTTGGCCTCCCGGGAAGCTGCGAGCTTCTCCTCCTTGCAGGCCATGTGGTAGACCTTCTTGGCCGCCTCCATCTACACGGGCAAGCAGGTGACGTCACCGCGAGGTCGTTTGATATGTTAATGCAATCGCTGAGCCTCAACTCCAGGGGATCCACTGTCTGCGTTGGTTTGGCTATAGACACCCACCAGAGCCCTCAGTAATTCACAGAGAAAAATTAACTATGATAAATGGTGCATAGTTTTGTTGTATGGATACAAGAAGTTCAATAAATAAATGAGCAAAGCTACTGCTGATTTTGTGTTTGCTTTATTACAGTAATCTAATGTGACTAAATGTTTTCCTATAAATAAAGTATACCCTCAAGCCCCCCTACAAACAAATGAAAAACAAATCAATATTTGGAAAAAGTCCGTGCTCAGTATTAGAAGTACCAAAGTGCCTAAACCTTAAGCAAATCAGTTAATTTCTTTCTCACACCAAGATTTCAATGCAGTTGATTTGGAGGGATTTATGTCTACGAGGGCAGATGAAGTAAGATGGCTACGTTCCCAAGAGGGCATTTTCACAGACCCCAGCTTCTGTTACCTGAGCACTACTCTGCTCATTGACTGTATTACATCAGGGCGATTTTACAGAAACCTCATTGTGCTAGTTTGTGAGAGGATTAGCCGTGAATTACTCAAGAAAACCCAATTAGGCTGCGGTTTAACAGCCTCACCGTAGAATGGACTTCTCTACTCTAAGCTGCACGACTCCCACCCAGATGTCCTCAGGCAAACAGAGAATCTTTGTTAAGATCTGGTTCCACTTAGCTCACAAGTAGTGTGCAGCATGTCACTATGTGTGCTGTATCATAAAGCTAGAACACTGTATTTGGTAACACTTTACTTGGCGGGGCACAAATACTTAGTAGTAACTCAGTAGCTACCGAAGAACAAATCATGAACAAATCATGAACAAATATAGTCGCTACTTGAGATAAAAGGTGTGTCATGATTTATTAATGATGAACAAACATGAGATCAGTAAGTAAATACAACTTAGTTTGTAGTTAATTAATACACAAGCAATAGCATAATACCACATCATTTGTGCCACGTCCCGTAAAGTGTTACCCTCTATTTTATTTACAGATGACTTTGAGGCCATGATGTCAGCGATGCCCCAACATCCTGCAGCTAAAGCGTTGACCCTCTCACCTCCTTGAGCTTCTTGGCCCAGGGTTTCTGGGCCTTCTTGAAGCCCTCCTCAGCCTCTTTGGCCTCCTTGTAGCCACCTATCATCTGTTTGTGGTAGGAGTCTTTCTGCCAGTTCTTGATTTTCTCAAAGTCCTCGTTGAGCAGGCCGTTCTTCACCTCCTGGTGCAGCTCGCTTACCTTGTCCGCCTCTATTGTAATCGCCAACCAGGCGCGCTCCACTGTGCCGTACTGTGGCCCTGGAGTGGGTGCAAGTGTGACACATGGGCTGACAGTTTAGCCAAAAGGCAGAATAACATACAAAAGTCACAACAGCGTCGAACATAATCAGAGAGCGTTTGCCGATGTCAGCCACTAGCATGAGCTGGAGGAATTCTGGGAATCCTTCCTTGGTCAGTCTGTTTCCTGCAGCTAATTACAAACAAGGCTGTTTAATTATCTTGAATATTCATCCAAGGTCATCTGTAGACACATAATTGTTGTTAGGCTCAAAGGAGAGAGAATATATCCTAAATACATGTATATGGCATGAAATGTTTCTTTGGAAAAGCAGAACCAGTCACCTGACAGTCACCTGACAGTCACCTGACGCCCCCTATTCATAAACCATATACAGTATAGAAACTCCATCTTGAATATGAATATATGAATACAGGCATTAAAAAGAGGGTGACATGATGGTTCACAGGGTTGTGCTGTAGCCACACCCCTCTAGGGTTGGGGGTTTGAATCCCGCCTCTGTTCTCTGCTTAGACATGCATGTTCTCCCCCTGTTATCTCTGGGTGCTTCAGTTTGCTCCCAAAGACATGCAGTTAGGCTAATTGGCATCTCTGACTTGCGTGTCTGGAATTGCCAGTGATGCACCCCAGGTCTCACTGTAACACTGATCAGGAGAAGCAGTTCAAAGATAAATTCATTAATGATGGAAGAGGCTTTTAACCCTATAGATCAGGAGTAGGCAACCCTAATCCTGGAGTGCCAGAATCTGGCAGGTGTTCTATCCTACCTGATGAGTTACTATCTATCTGAGATCAGGTAGGATAGAAACCCTGCTATAGATAATGCTTCTTGTAAACTACAAGTAAAGTAGTAAAGTTTGCTCCGTTTCAGTATAGGAAAAAAAAAAAATTGGCAAAATACACAGATAGTGGAAATTTCAGAAATGCACACTTCATTCCAAGCCCTGCCCTGGCAGGCAGCTAAAAGTGGCCACGCCCACCTTTCTCAATCAGCTGCTTCCATCTCTTGGACCAGTCGGTGAGCTGCTGGCTGTAGGCCTTCTCGATCTTGGAGCGCTCCTGTAGACAGCTCATGAGGTCATTGCACAGGCGATGGCCGTCGTCAATCCGCTTCACTGCGCGTTTGTAGTTCCCCACCTGGCAAAGCCGGGAAAGAGCCGTTTGCACAGCCCACTCATTGCCTCAGGCAAATGATGGCCGCATAGACCAACACAGCGAGAAAGAGCATAATCACCAGAGAACCAATAAAATAGCAAAGGAAATTAAGCTGCTCGGCAGTCTAATATCAGAAGGGCTATTACAGTCATCTTATCGATTTTGTGGTCAAATTGTGACTGAGAAATGGCACATTTAACCCCACCCAAACCAAATAAACCAGCGTTATCAGTCGATTAATTAATCTATTAAATCTGCTTTGAGAGCTTTGTGCTAACAAAACAAGGATTTAAATATGCAGATAAAATATTGATACTAGCCAAGATAAATCAGATGAAAACTCTGTGAACTGTACATGTGACTGGGAATATTATAGATACAGGGTTTCCCTTGCAGGGGGCTGCATGTGACTCAGTGGGCTAAGCCTGTGTGCCTGTAATCAGAAGGTCGCCGGTCCAAACCCAGCCTCAGCATGTCTGTGGGTCCTTGAGCAAGGCCCTCAACCCCCCCTAATTCCCTGAGCAGCCCAACAAGTGGCTGCCCTTCTTGGGCAGCTTACTCTACAAAGAGCAAGTTGTGGGAGGCGTAAAGACAATTTCCCCAAGGGGGTCAATAAAGTATCAATGTAAGATAAAAAAACGCAAGAAAGGTGTCAACAGAGATGAAAGGGAAAAGAAAATAACAATAAACATCCATTATGGTGAGCAAAAAAAAAAACAGTGGAGTGATTGTTATAATTGACACACAAATTGAAGTCCAGAGAAAAAAACAGAACAAATAATTATATGCATATAAAACATGAAAAAGGCTGAGACACAGCCAATCAATGCAAACAACCCCAGTCACATGATTATCCTTCTTGAGATGGCCACACCCCCCATTTCACATTTTTAGTACAACATGTACTGATGCAAATGAAATGCTCTTTGTACAAAATCAGCAAGTCACTCTGCAGTGCTGCATTTGCTTGGATCCTCAGGGCTGGCCGGCCCCTTCCGTTTCAGTGCCACCTTAAGGCCATCCCTGCGACTCGGCCATCCCTGCGACTCCGCCACCTCACCCTCAGCAGACGTGCCAGTTTATGCAGCACCACGCAGAGAGTGATGGGTGCTCATGTAAATGCAAGAAGATTTGCGAGAGCGAGAAGTACGTTGATGGGCACGTTTTTCGGGGAGGGGGTACTCGATCCCCCATAATCTACAATATGCTTTTCTGACTAAGCAGAGATGATATAACTAGCAGAACTGAAGAAAGCTGGAGGTAGACCCACGGAATAGCGCCCTGCCTGCTGTTCTCACCTAAACCTCTGGAGGCAGACCTGAGCTATAAACAAACGCCACAGATCGGGATCCAAAATATCCACACATGAAAACTTCTCAAGACAGTTACATTGCTCTGTCTTTTGTCTTGCACTGTCTTGTCTTTCATTGCACTGCTCTTTTGTCCTTTATTGCACTGTTGTTTCTCCTATTGCCCCACCATGTCCCCTCCCCTGCAACTGTGACAGCAGAATTTCACTGTATTCCTCAGACCATGTAACAATAAAACTTGAACAGTTTATGCCCTGATATGCTATATTACAGTATGAAAGCTTCCAATGCTCTGATATATCTGCATGATAACAGCCAAGGTCCTTCAATAAATTTAGCTTAAATTAGCTCTTTTTAACTCTAACGTAAAATGTATTTTAAATAGCATATTCTTCATATCAAAAAGGAGGCCCTAAGAGACATGGCTGATGCTCCAAAGAGGAGAAGGAACCCAAAAAGAGCCACAGTTTTGGTCCTTCAGCAGAAAGACAGCAACCTGTTGGATATTAACACAGATAGATTGGGGGTTGGTTAATTCTTAAGTAGAGCAAATCTTCTTCATGTTTGGACAGAGTTAATCAAAACCACCATGTACAGAAGTTATACATAGACATGCGCAGGTGAATGTGAGTGTTTCACCCACGTCGTCATGAGATGTGACAGTCCCCACCAGCTCACGGCTGGCCCATGTCACACCTGGCTTCCTGCTCCAGTACCCACCTTCACACATAAGACAAAAGCAAGCTGAGTGACGCGGAGAGACTCTTAGATTTGTTGAGATGCTACCTGAGTTGATTTGTATCTGTTCTCGGTAGCAGAAATACTAACAGACCAACGCTTTCAAGAGCCTTTAGGTCTGCAACCCAGAATTTGCACTATTGTGTTTTTGTTTCTGATGCTGTGCGATTTAAAGATGGATGGACAGCAGTCACCATCAGGGTATCTACACACCCTCTGCCTGCACCGCCATTATACCTGAGTTAGCTTTGCAGGTCCTGCTTTCTGAACAAGTAACGGAGCTACCCAAGGAAGCTTGGCGTCTTATCAGTGGTAAGAGCGGCACGGTTGTACCTCCCAAAAGCTGTCTGTCGCTTCCTCAAGGCCAGCGGACTCGTCGTAGGAGCCGGACATTTTCCTGGATGTGGAGGCGCGAGCTTGGAGCTGGACGTGTCTGGGATGGAGCGAGACTCTTCATGCACTGGGACAGAGGAAGGAGGACAGCAGCCATTAAAATGTAGGCGATCCAGGCAAACGAGACACTGCAAATCAAAGGTTCACAAACTATTTCTATTTAAATGTTGACTAGCATGTTAGCATCTCGTTAGCCTTTCCTGTGCTAACCCCCTGCAGAGCAAACATCAGCTGCAGTGCAAAATACCAAATAAACAAGTCAGGGATGGAGCACATTCTCTTTCCAGATCATGCCTTTTCAGCCAACCCAAATTTGATGAACAATTCTTGAAGTATGAGCCTAATTTTCAGATTCTCATATAGATCTGACTTTTCTCAGCCAGAGTGATCCCAGTTGAACCCAGGTGACACATTTGCTGAAAGACATCAAAGAAGCTTCTAAAATGACCCTGCAACTGGAAGATCTCCTGAGTCTAACTATACTGAGAATAGCTCAGAAAATGAAATGGATCCTTCAAATGCTGAGTCATTTCATCAGGAACAGAAACAAACTAATACTGACCATATTTTATATATGTGAGCCGGACTCCTTATACGACCCTGTTACAAACCGCACAATTAACATCATCATCAACTAAACCACGGTTACGTTAGCTGGCCGGCGATCTGCCTCGCTGCCGTGCTGAAGGAGAGTGGGTGGGTGTGCCTTTGGTTGCTATGATACCAAAGCCCAAGTGTGTGACTCACACCCACGTGAGCCTTAAACCAAAAGCGTGCCCGGGAGCCGACCGACAGCTGGTGAATTTCCAAACAAATGCAGCCAAACAGAGGTGTTTGGCTGATCTTCAGCCCTGCACGGGCCCTTAGAGGGAGTAAGTACTGCGAACATGGCTGTTAACACCAGAAAGATGGGAAACAGGACATGTTTGTGTTTTTGGACGCAAGGAAGACACTCTGTACAGTGGGGTGTGGAGGGGGGGGGGGCATGGACATAAGGTCAGGTGACAGTTCACTCACTTCACCTATTTTTCGTCCCCAATCCTTATGCAGCATTGATGCTCTCGCTCCAGTAAACACACTCTGACCCTCCTGTCAGATCCCTCCCTCGGCTGCTGTCCCCAGTGAACCGAAATCCATTTGGGATTTCGTGTATCTGTTTCCTCCCAATTTAGAATGGAATGGGTGTCTTTTATTTCCATCTGTCCCACAGGTCTCTGTTCTTCCCTCCCACCCCCATATCATACGGTTCTGTTTCCCCGGATCAAATTTCACTCTTCATTATTGTTCTGGTCCATCACCCTTGGCGACTGCCACGTCTTAGTTGACCTGAACAGTTGCCTGACCAAAACTGGACAGGGGGGTCCTCAGTAAAATGCTGGATGTTTTCTCAACTCAGGGAATCTAAGGATTTTTTTAAAAAAAGGTACAACAGCTTAGAAGGTTTCTTCCTGTGCCTCCTGTGCTGGAAATGCAGAGTTTCTTATTTACGGTCGTCCTCTGGATCCTTAGCCTCAGTGCTCACAGCTGTTGTGTTTGTTACAGTGAGTGTATTAGCTTGTTCTCCAGGAGCTGACATGGATTTTATATAATAATGAATTGATTCATTAACTTTGTAACCTTCACCCAAACGTTAAATTATGTTCTGTGATTGTATCTTATGCATCTCCTGTTGACGGGTGCTGCATAGTGTCTGTCTGTAAAGGTGTGAGTTATGGTATGATATGGGTGACAGTCAAACTTTCTTAGAAGGGAAATGGTAACATGCTTCTTCTATAAGCTGTCGGTATAGCTGGAACATTCTGTGCAATCCGCCCATGTTCTACCTGTTTATTCTAGTCAGGGTCAGAGGAGGCCTGCAGCAAAACACAGGGAGCTAAAGGCACAGGGCTGGGGTACAGTCTGGGTGGGATGCCAGTCCATCACAGGGCACAGGGCAGGGGTACAGTCTGGGTGGGATGCCAGTCCATCACAGGGCACAGGGCAGGGGTACAGTCTGGGTGGGATGCCAGTCCATCACAGGGTACATACACAGACCACCATAGACAATCACAATCCTGCTCAGTTGACAGTTTATATATCAATTATTTGCATGTTATTGGGCTACAGGTGAAAGCTGGATAACCTACAAGAAACCCACTCCATACTGGGAAAGTATGCAAACACCAAGCAGACATACAGGGAGAGTATACAAACATCAAGCAGACATACAGGGAGAGTATACAAACACCACGCAGACATACAGGGAGAGTATACAAACACCACGCAGACATACCTGTACAGGGAGAGTATACAAACACCACAGACAGTGCAGAGTCAGAATTTAAACTCCGAACCTGTGAAGGAGCTATCCTTGGAGCTACTGTGCATTCTGGGTAATTTTATGTACATTTATTTAAAACTGATTAGAGATAATGTCGATGTATTATTATTATTATTATTATTATTATTATTAATGAGGCAGGGTTGTGCTTTCCCAGACATCCACGCTTGTTATCATTGCACATACCGTTATACTGTTACTGTGAGTCATTTTCATTTATTAGGAAGTTAATGTTATTGACGATGCTCAAAAGCAATAGCAGCACACTGTGTGCCTGGGATGAAAGCTGTGCTTTAGGGAAGGTCTGTAAAATCATTAGATTGGCTTAATCAATGAAAAATGGCTGACCTTTGTGTAGAATGAACAACAAATCCCACGCACACAACCGCTGCATTCAGACAAGCCGTCGCTATTTAAGCTCAAGCCGCAGTCAGACGCGCGTCCTGACGTTCGTCCTGACGTGCTCCACGACATTACAGAATTGCTTGCAATTCCAATTTCAGAGGAATCTGATTGTTATTGTAATCTTATTGCCCGGAGCCATTTTTGCAAGCAAAGAACAGAAGGAAACACATTCTGCCGAGGGGGAAATTTTGATAGGGAAGTCTTTCTTGGAGGGGGGAAGCCTGAGAGACTTACTGGGGGCATTCAAAGGGCCTGACAAAGGTACAAAACACTTAAGATCCCAGTGTGATCATGTCACAGCTGTGCGGAAGAATGCGCCTACAAAAGACCAACAATGATTAAATTGATTATCGTGCAGCCAAGCCATAGAATCTTCCAGATGCCCAGGAAGGAAAACAAAAAGTCCTTAAAAGGCAACTGAAAGTCATGGACGACTGCTACCCATCTCGGGATCCAGGGGAGGTGCTGATTGAGATACAAGAATATAATCAAATCCTCTGACAAGAATCAATCAGTATAAGCCTGTCCTGAAGACTCCCTGTCCAACTGTGACAGAAGACATGCGTTTTTCTGTAATTATGCCATGGAGTATTCTGGTCAGAACCAGTCCTAACCAACGCGGTGCCCTAGGCAAGCATGACCATCGGTACCCCCTCAGAAGCTGGAGCCCAAGGCAGCTGCCTATGTCGCCTATTGCACTGACCGGCCCTGATTCTGGTAACAAATGCAAGATCAGAGACAGGGTTGAACCCATTATCAAGATAAGGATCTGACCAGCCCGACCATCAGTGCTGCTGTTTGCGAATCAAAAGAAATCCTGAGTCAGAAAGACTTGAATAGAATTATGGAGAACCTTCACTGCGTGAGCCTGTCAGGCGGTCTTGTGGTTTGGTGCAGTGAAGATCTGTCAAAGCAACATATTACAATGAGAAAAGGGCATCAGTGCAGGAACGTGACGGTGTAGCGAGAGGATGGATTCGTAAGGCACTAGGAGTAGTGATGCAGAACAATGTGAAACGACAACACATAACAAATTTGCAAATGAAAAACCTTTGGTCCTGTCATAGCTCTTAATCGCATGACCTATGACGGATTTAACTTCAAACCAAGATGCAGCTGAGATGCTGTTTGTACAGTCAGAGCACATCAAGCATTACATGCAGTGGGTTCAACCACCTGTTTCCGCATCAGTGCAAAAGCACAGCAGACATTTTCACCTGCTCCTTCATCTACAAGCACCCCCCCCCACCACCACCACCCACCAAGGCCCCAGTGACCGGAAAATCCTCATTACAGGCCTGGAGCTTCATCTCGGATGAAGGAATCCCAAGGAGGAATGCCTGTTATTACGCGCGTGTAAATGTCACACGAAGGGACGCCAACGCAAGATCTCACTGTTTCTACACGAGTGAAATGGCAGCGAGCACAGCAGAATGACTGTTAACTCTGCACCTTTAATGAGGAGGGCTTGGCTCTTCCTTCCAGGCTCTTACAGGCCTTCAGACAGCAAAAGGGGTAAAAAAATAAAATAAATGAAAGGCGAGCTCTTTTTCCAGTTTTTCCACACTGTATAATTACTGTATAATTTACCATTTAGCCCATCCGGAGCTGAATGACTGCACTGTACTACCTGCCTTGCTTGTATGCTGCTCTAGGAAAAAGGTCTGCTAAACGTGTAAATGTACTTAAGTGATTATAAATGTGTGGCTGACCCCCCCGCTAGTGCCGTGCCGGGGGAGCAGGTGAAGGCAGTGACTCAGGAACTCAGTGTTTCCCAGTCGGGTCCTCAGGGACCCACAGTCGGCTCACATCTTTGCTCCCTCCAAGCCTCATGCCAGAGTCCACATTTTTGCTCCCTCCCAGTTCCTGGAGAAAAACGCGGACTGTCTGTGGCTCCCCGAGGACCGTATTTGGAATCACTGCTCTAACTACAGCATACACACTGTACCACACCTATGAAGACTCTGCTACATGAACACATACGGTGAATGAAGCCGATTGTTGGGGTAGAACCACAGCATCGCTACCCTGATACTTACAGAAGATCTAAGACTGGACCGTTAAGTAATAATCACATTTTTATAATACATAATGAGATATATTTAATGAGTGTGAATTCCTGCTATACAGGGTGTACATTAGACTACTGTAATACTCTGCTATCTGGGAACATACACTGCACATTAAACACAAATGCAGCAGCTCGAATCGTCACCAGGCGAAGGAAGTTTGAACACACAACCCCTGCCCTACACTGGCTTCCTGTTAGGTTCAGGACTGACTTCAAAGTTCTCCCACATATAAGCATATAAGGCACTTAAAGGTCTAGCACCCGCCTACCT